AAGAAGTTACGGGGGAGAAATGAAAATTATCAAAATCTGTTTTTTTGCGTATGAAACAAAAACGAATAGATTTTATCGAAATATTTTTTCACATTATAGTTGGCCTTGACAAACTCCACATTTGGTGTCATTTAACCTTGTATCTCTCACCGTTAAAAAGATACCCATGGTGAGTATGGTAAGTGGGACACACTGTATATCCCCAAAGGAAAAAGTCTAGTGGGGTTAGGTCGGGGGACCTTGCAGGCCAGGATGTATCACTATGAGTACCCATCCACTGTCCTGGGAAGCGACGGTTCGAATAATCACAAACAAATCTAGCGTTATGTGCTGGAGCACCATCTTGTTGAAACCAACAGCTGTGAGTAACCGCTAAAGGCAAATTATCTAGAGCGTCTTCCAAATCATTCATTTACCGCTCTCTTGTTGAATTGGCATGGTAGCTAAAAGGCCCAATAACATTCGTACCGTGAATCCCAACCCACATGTTAAAACCGAAACGATGTTGATGTCTGGACACTTTGTGTACACGCGGATTTTGTTGTGACGAATAATGAACATGCCGCCTAATAAAAATGCCGTTGTTGTTGATGATACTTTCATCAGACCAAATTATTTTGAAAGGGAAATTTTCATCGTCTTGGCATTTTCTAGTGTACCATTCACAAAAGGTTCTTCGCCTTGCATCGTCTCCTGGTCTGAGTCCATGACAAATCCTAAATTTATAAGGATGATATTTATTTTTTCCTAAAATGAAGTGAGCCGTGGATTTGTCTACTCCGGTATTATCTTCAATGGTGCGAGTGGATATCTCAGGATTTTCAACAACGGCCTGTAACACATCACGCTGACTTTCATCATTACATTTCTTTTGTCGGGAAACCACAGGTTTTACAAATGATCCATATTCTTTTAAATCAAAAACTAACCGTCTAAATATCGATTTACCAGTTTGTCGCCTCTTTGGATACTTATTAGAGTAACGCACGTTCAGCATCACCACAATTTCTTTGGCACAAAATGTAATATGACAACATATCATATTTTTCAATATTCGAAAATCTACCTTTTTCCATTTTTAACACAATCTAGGTAAGTAACGAAATGTAAAAGTAGGAACGGTAATATGTTGAAAATACTACCAAACTACAGTATTATTATGACAACAGAACATTTTGTGTCATTTTTCCAGTGCCTACTAAAATTGAAGAAAATCAGGTGGAGTAATCACTTTTCATTTTGTGCGAGAAATGGTTCTGAAATCATATTGTGTGATACATTGATATATAAACAATGAAAAATGGAGTCATTTACAGGGTATACTTTAGTTTCGGCCCATATAAAAATAGAAAGTTGATGTTTTCTAAAAGACGAAACGTCGCAGAAAAAATCTGCTTACGTTATCATGTAGTCCTTAAAAAGTGGCCATGGCAAAGTGCTATTTGTTTTACATTTCCTTCGAAAATGAAGCTAGAAGGAAATAAAAGCGAAATTCTCAAATTTCGGTTTTTCTCGGATATCTCCGAAACTACTCGGAATAAATTCATAAATACATAAATGCGCTACTTTTCTCTAACCTAACCATATTTGTATCTCCTACCGTTTCCGAGATCCACATGCTGTTCATTTTTATATTTTTTATGTTCATAATTTATCTGAGAATATTCCTTTTCAACTACCAGTTGATATCAGAGTCGATAAAACAGAGCAAGAAAACAGTAAAACAGTCCAATGTGAGTCATCCATCAAAATCTACAATCAATTGGAAAATGCATTGATGAATTAGATAGGTTTTTAACTGAACACACCAACTGCATTGTTTTATGTGTGACTGAACACTGGAAAACATACTAACAACTGCCAGAATATTCTTTGAGCGAATATGTACTAGCAGCATGCTACTGCAGAGAGAAGTGGTATTTATGTAAAGCGAGGCACCTCTTTCGAAAATCCCACCAAAATTAGGAATATATCTCTGATAGGGGAATTTGAATGTGTAGGAGTAGAAATCAGGATTTGCAAAGAAGTTTATATTATTTGTTCAGAATATCGGTCTAGTGGCCAATCCCAAGTATTTGAAGAAGATAGAAGAATTGTTGTTGCTGATATGCAATAATCATAATAATGTAATAATATGTAGACATTGAAATGTTGAAAGAAAATGTGAGGAAGCAGGATCTATTTTCATGTGAATGCTACAGAAGAACATTTTACTAGAATACCAAATTCGACTAAATCATGCAATGAGAATATATTTACAAACTTAGAAGACAACTATTCAATACAAATGTTGAGTTCTCGTGTCTCAGATCTTCAGGAAGAGTTAACATCTCAACTTGACAGTCAAAACAAGGATAACATTTTTTTCAGAAGACATTTTAATGAAGAAAATATAAATTATTCCTTTCAGCAACTTGCAGATTATGATTGGGACAATATATATCGAAGTCAACCTAGTGAGGTTAATCCACAGTGGAACAAATGCCATGATAATTTTACATACGTGTTTAATATGAGTTTCCCTTTGAAAAAACACATCTCACATAGATGGCCCAAGCATATGTTGAATGATCCAGAGGCAATGGAATGTAAAAATCAACTTGACATTTTGTACACTCTGAAAGGTGTTGAAAATCGATAAAGTGAACAATACAAACTTTAGAAAAAGGTTTAATCAACTTTTGATACAGTCTCGATAAAAAAAAACTATGAACATCGAATAAAAAGTAATGATAACAAATGAAAATGTGTTTGGAACATTGTAAATGAAATTCGAGGTGAAACCAGGGTGGATTATGAGTTGAAGATTAATGGTGATCCTGAAGAAATTGCAGAAAACTTGAATGAATTCAGTAAACTGTGCACCACAACTAGTTTTAAAATTATCTAATTTATACCACAACAATAGTTCAATGTTTGTTAAAGCTGTCACAAAAGAAGAACTTTCAGATATTGCAAAGAGAAAGAAGAATAAATTCAGTAGTGGAGATGACGGAGTTCCCTCTCATTTAATTAAATATAGTAGTCAAATGGTCTTGGAACCACTATGTTACATAATCAACAATTCTCTGGAATTTGCCAGAAAGGTTAAAAATAGCTCTTCTTATACCACTTCACAAGAAAGGAGTAGATAATTTTGAAAATTATAGACCAATTAGTATGTTACCAGCTTTTTCAAAGTTATTTGAGATGGTGAAGTGTAACCGATCAATATATTTCATGAGCTGTTCAAATAGGCTTAATAACATGCAGCATGGATACTTGCAAGGTAAATCGACTTTGACTGCAACATACAATTTCACTCAGAAAATCATTGAAGCTTTGGAGGATGACGAATTGATCCTAGGATTATTTTTGGATTTGTCTAAAGCATATGATACACCAGTTCATACAATAATGTTAAATACATTAAAACGATATGGAGTGATATATAATGCTTTATTGTGGTTTGAGTCCTACCTTTCAAATAAGTGTTCTGCTGATCTTGCATCAACAGTGGAAAATAGTTTCCTTACCATGTACGCAGATTATGCGAATTTCCAACTATATGATCCACTGTATCCTGGTTCAATTGAATCCGCAGAATTAGTTTTAACAGCAGCCAATGAGTACTTTGATGAAAATAGAATGATAATAATAAATAAATAAATATCTTTATTTTCCTTTGGACTTTCTAAAAAAGTATAGGAATAGTCAGGTTGTTACAAGTATATAAATCTAAAACTAGATAAATGACAGATTACATAATATGATAGACGAACATTATATAAAAGAGAGAAACATGGTCAAGCGAGTAGAAACACTTTTCTATGAGAAATGATTTCAAGCATTTTTTGGAAGAAGATACTTTTTTTGCGTTTTTCAAATATTCAGGTAAGTTATTGAATATTCTAGGACCTAGGATATTTGGTGTATTACTCAAAATATTTGTTCTGCTTGGTTGAATATAGAATTCGTTCCTCGAGCGAGTATTCACATCATGTTTATCACTGTTGCGAGCAAACAGTTGCTTGTTAACAAATACATAGATACATAATTCAAATATAAGGAGGCAGGGCAGCGTTAATATCTTCAACCTTATGAAAAAAGGCTTGCAGGAATCCATTCTCTGAATGCCCATCATACTTCTTAAAGCCTTTTTTTGAGCCAGAAAAATATCCTTTGCTGATGTAGATGACCCCCAGAAACATATACCATATCGGATACGTGAGTCCACTTGAGCAAAGTAGAGACTGCACAATTGATTTAAATTCAAGGTATTTCTCAGAGTTCTGAGTTGAAAATTTATAACATTAATTTTTTTCACAATGTATTCACAGTGCTTATAACCCAAAGCATAGACATAAATAATAGAAAATTTGATACGACAATATCAACCAAATTTCTAGGTGTTATAGACGAAAATGCAAAATGGAATCATCCTATGAAATAAACTGAATAGTGTGACCTATAGTTTGAGAATTATGGCAAAATATCTGAACAACCCAACATTGAAGATTGTGTATCATGCAAACGTTGAAGCAGTTTTAAGATATGGGATTATTTTTTCGGTATCAGTGGTGAATTAAAAGGTTATTCATAATCCAGAAACGAGCTATTAGATTAATATCAGATTTGAGTTTTTTTGGAAACGTGTAGAGGAAAATTTGAACAAAATAAAACTATTCACTAACACTCATAGAAAATAGTACGAAATACTGTTGCTCAAGATAACAATTTTCAAATTATTAGTGAAAATAGAGCCTTATACTGTAGATGCATTTATAACAGCACAACTATAATAGTATAATGTTGTAATCATGTCATTCTGTATTTCAGTCATTTTATATAAATATTAGGTACACGTCTTGTCAAATGCACCAACCATTTTTGTGACGTTAATTAATGAACAATAACGATGTTCTGAATTACACAAACTCAGTAGAGAGCAATGGTTTTCAAATTGTGAACGGAATTATTTCACCCAATTACACAAAGAAATCAAAGAAACACTCAGTATTCTTGATCATATTGTGGCATACTTTTTTGATATTAGATAATTTCAAATAAAACTGAATTTAAAAGAATAAGTCACATATGCGAACGGCAGCTCTTCGCCAGAGAACAGATAAGTGGATTCGTGTTGCAGACAGTTAATATTTCAAGTTCAGAGGGCGCTACTCAATTTGCAAAAAAATTACTTCAACATTAAAGCAGGTGTAGACCATAGGAATACTTATTGTCTATATTCATTATTTCTATGATATATTCTCACGGAGTGATTATTTTTGATTAATCACTCTGTCTAATTTTATCAATACTATTATTATCTTGGTTGAAATTATATGTTTGTTATTTTTGAATCGATTCGGTAGAATCATCGGAATAGTGAGTGAGAACGTATTCATAATGAAACTTTTGAAACAAGAATTGAATAATTTTGTTTGGCCAAAATCAGATGACATTGCTCAGGTACATAAAAATTATATGGGCCTGGTAGTATTATGGCCAGTGGACCTTTCGAGATAAAACGTACTGATATGGCAAATATAAGGAAACTATACTGTTAGCGACGATGTTCAAATCACCCCGTAATTGAGAAGAACGCCTAAGGAATGCCTTAGCGACAGCGAGGGTTATCAACACGCCTAGGTCCATAAAAGCAAGTTACGCCCGAACAACATTTTAGGCATGACCATTTCAGACATTTATTTACTGTCAATATGGAATTTATTAATTATTTTAAATTCATTTGTCCAGATTATGTATGCCACTGTGCCTGGCGAAGAAAGGTGGAATGGTAGTCCACTAGAAATTACTGGAAGAACAGTGAAATTACATTTACTAAGTTTCTTATTATATATATTTATTTATCTATAGTTTCTTGAAATAGGGTTGATTAATAATCAACACACACAGATTTCAAAATCCATTGTGCTGATAATATTTAGTATAGTTAGGTAATACCATAAACTAATATAATGAAATTGAGAAATGTAAACTATGTACCTGAGATACGGAATAAAAAAAGTAATAAAAGAAAAATAAATAAAAAATTACCGCCGGACTACTTAACCGCCCGCTGTACTCCTTTATCGATCTGGGGCGCAGAAGTGCTACTTTACGCCTGCGAATCCGGGCGATAAATTGCCACTTTACGCCCGGTCTTGCATAAATGAATTCAATCAGTACTTTATGAAAGCATTGTATACCTATTACTTACATTGTTGTTCAAGTTCTGGACACTTCTCCAATACTCCATATGCTCCACCTCTCGGGAACGCCTCACTCAATAGTTTCATATCTTCTGGCCCAGCTTCATCAACATCTTTCTCCAACTTATCCAAATAGTCTTTGGCCCTGCCTGCCATTACATTGGCATGACATATTCTATTGTCGAATGATACAAGTTTTTTATCGTCCGAACCAATTTTAGATCCAATCAATGATAAAGTTTCCACATCTCCATTGCTTGCTAGCTTGTTTAATAAAAACCTGAATACCCTGTTCACTGGGAAGTTGCCTCTATTTAAGATGTCTAAGCAAACCTGCGAGGCTTCCTTCAGACGGTCACTTTGGAGCAATTTTTCGATGAGTTGGGATAGATCATTAGTAGAAATTGGGTCCTTTGTGCTGTTTTTGATTTTCAAGGCTTCATCAGTTCTTCCTGCTCTCAGGTTTTGTCTAAATATGGCTTGTGGGCTGATCTGAATGACAAGAATGTTGATTATCAAAAAGCTGGGTAAAGAGTGATTTTACACATCCAGAATATTCTTTCTTTACGGCTACCGTATTGATTACATATTGGATATTGATTGAAGGATGAAGATGATTCCAAGACATCGTGGATCCTAGCTCAATATTCAATAGCAATCGACCAATCACAGATTCAGAATTTTCAGGATCCACGGGAACTGGAAGGTTTAGACTAATGACAAAACAGTAAATCTACCAAAGAAATTTCTCAAATTTACTTTGCTTCATTCGTCGTGTCAAGTACAAAATAAGAAATTAATAGTTGTGGATGGGAAAGCAGTGATAGTGAGAATAATGAGATCTGTACACGACCGGATTTTTCGAAAAAATATTCAAAGGTATATGCGGAGTTCATGGATTGGCGAAACTTGAACAAGCACCTTCATTCTCGGAAAATGTCCTTCTCGACCATTTTACAAAACTCTCTGAGAATAATAAGTCATCATCGTTGAGCAAGATAATATTTATTCTGTTTCACAGCACACAGCACACAGCACACTCAATGTTAACAACGATATCAACATTGGGAGGTACTTAAAATTGCGTGCATAGTTGATACGAAAATCTGAACGAAAGCCCTTAATAAGTGAATAGATTTATCAATAAAGCTCATGATGAAATATATTTTGCAGCAAAGGTGTATCTGAGGGTATATCTATTATTTCCATAAATAATATTTAGATTGCATTGAATTTCTTGACTATATTGTATACCTAGCCGTAGAAAAAGTATGGTCTTCAACTAGCGTATAATAGCTATGATACGCTCGTTGAAGAATATACTATTTAACTTCAACGAGAGTATACCATTCGTCTCAAATGAGCAGGCCAGAAACTGGAGGATTAAAAAATATATTCTCGTTTTTCAAATTGCCACAACTTTTTTGAAAATTAACCGATATTCAACAGGCATGCAGCATTCAAAAGATTATATTTTTCTCTGTTTATGGTCCATGTTCAAAGTTTTCTAGTTATGAGATGAGATATTGAGTGTTCATAAAGTGTTGAAAAATCGAAGTTCAGAAGCTCTCCTACAATATCGAACAAAGCAAGTGTTGGTCGAATTAATAGGTGTTTGCCCTAGCTATGCACTTCAGCTAATTTGAATAATTCGTAGAAATATGCATTGCTATAGCTGAAACAACGAAAACGTCACAAGTGAAGAATTTTCGTGATGAGTCTGTCGATTCAATTCCAAACGAAACTGAATTTATTACGATCCCACAGGACAATTACTGTTTTCTCCAAGCAGTTCTATTATTTCTCACATTTGCAATTAGTTTTTCATGATGCTGTTCACCAAGTTGGATGTAATCTGCTAAATGCTTGCAGAGCGTTATGACTTATATTCGACATTTTACTGCCACATACACATTGAAAACACCGAACTTGACAGGCCAATCAGAGTCAAGAGTCAAGTTGAGTGTTATCAATCAGCCGAACTTGACTTGAGCTTCTGATTGGTTCATTTGATAACTGCGTGAAATAGTCAACGTAATAATTTAGGGAAAATAGTTGCAGGTTGCAGTCAAGTTGGTTATATATTATTTACTAACCTGTAACGTTGGTGATTCCGTAGTCTTAGTCGCATCCTCTGGTATGACAAAAGGAACTTCTAGACCTCTTTTTTGCAAAAATTCACCAAGAGTCGACAAAAAACTATCTGTTGGTGCTAAATCTTCTTCCTGCATTTGCATCCAAAGTCCTAAAGCTTTGTCTGCATCTTCTTGCTTCATATAGCTGAGCAGGAGTTGTTGGTAAATATCGCTACGGTCAATATGATTCAGATCTTTTGTGGCATCTTTGAGGCCTTCTAGAGATTTAACATGACCTTCTTGCCGATATCTAAAAATAAATGAACTTTTCTGATGAAATTGTCAATGGGGAAGAGAGAGAGAATATGCTTTATTGTCGAAAATGTATACGGGTGTTCAGATTTAGATATACATATGATACCTCAAGATAGAAGACACTTTGATGGTTCCAAATCACCCACCTTTGATGAGACTACCGTCTTTAATAACTGAGATACAGGACACTATCTTTTTTATGGCAAAATCTCCATCTGATCATCATTTTTCAACTACTTTATATATCCTATTCATACTTGGTAGATGAATTACACTTATATTACCCATGAAAACTGAATGGAAAAACGAGATCGGAATCCAGGCCCCTCTTTAGGAAAAACTTTTTCTATTTCAGGTATTTCTATTCAACTCTTGATTCCAAATCCAATCTCAATACAAAAAAGGTCAAGTTAGGTGTATTCTCGATAGATTTGTTTGACAGAATAACTTATCAATGATTGCAGACATTTCCGAGGGCCAATTGTATTCATCACTATTTAGTATTTATTCATTCAGGCTTTGCAAAATATACTAAATTTTGACAATTTATAATTTATAGTGATATTATTGGTGAACTCTTAACGTACTATGGATTTCCATCAAATAAAGGCCGAGTCAATTTGAAACTGCTAGTTATTGAATTGTGTTGAGGCATATTTATATACTTAGAAATGTAACAACATACTACAAACAGCAAAAATTACCTCGACGTTACTAGTAATTTCACACTCTAGTGATTATTCAGTCAAACAAACAAATTTACCGAGAGCTCACATAATTTTACTCTTATTAAGTAGAAATTTGAATGGTATTTTTTATATTAGAATTGAATTTTCGATGATGAATTCGTTAAAAATTCCTAAAAATCGAGCTGAATACTTCAAAAAATGATAATAAAACGTCTGTCAAATTGGATGTGCGATCGTAAGAAGTAGATCATTTTATTCATTTTATTCCAGCTTTACTCAGATATCAAAACAGATAAGAAAAAATGCCATACATAGGTTGTTTTTGAAATAGAAGTTTTTTGGTTTCCCTAGAGACGGTTCTGGATTCCGATATCATTTTCCATTTAGTTCTCATTGTTGATGAAACTGAAATTTATCTACCAAGTATGAATAGATTATACAAAGTGGTTCAAAAATTATGACAAGGTAGATAATTTTCCAAAATCATAATAATTTCCTGTATCTCCGTTATAGAAGACGGTAGTCACATCAAAGGTGATTTGGAACCATTAGTGTCCTCTATTTACAGGTATCGTATGTACATCCACATCTAAAACACCCTGTATAATAATCTTATTGATAGAATAACAGATTAGAAAAATATACCTAAAATAAAAACAAAAAATAGAACTAGAGGAAATCGCTACTAACACCACAACATTTTAGAATCGATTCAAGATTTCAACACTCTCAGAAGCTAGTTCATAAGGCACCAGTGGCGGCTCCTCAGAGGAGGCAACGGAGGCTGAACCTCCTCAGAGATTTTCCTTAAAATGACATTATCTATACTTTCTCATTAAAAAGACACCATAAAACATGGATTTTGATTTTATTTCCTGTTTTTAGGTAAATATTTTTGAATTGGCAACAGTGCTTGCCCACCCAGCACACGTTGAAGACTGCAAATCACGCGTACAATATTCAACTTGGCAACATCTATAGGAGGCTAGACTCCTTCACAAATCGCAACCCACGGGCAATGCAAATGCCCGAATAGCACGTGTTACTGGGCGTCGCCCTAGCTTCTCAGGTAAGGCTCTAGCCGTTCGATATCTGAAGTTAAGCAGTGTCGAGCGCGGTTAGTACTTGGATGGGTGACCATTCGAAGAAACGCCGCGTAAGCCCGTACATCTGTAGCGGAATAGCATATCATAGCTACAGCTACCATATCAATGAGCACAAGATATGGTACGGATATGCCGTCCTTCGGAGGGGACGTTAAGCCGGCGGTCCCGAGGCCATGGATGTTGGACTCGTTAAAGAGCCCTACCTCTGGTCGGAACATCAGAGGATTCGGCAAAATTTCCGGTTGGGGGTATAGTGTTCTCACCGGCGTCGGTGATTAGCCTCAGTAGCAGAAAAAGGCCGACGTTAAAGAAACAAGTGAAAAAAAAATTGCGGACAATCGAGCGCGAATGCAGTGTTCATGTTTATGTTAGGTTGTAACGTTTTTGTCTGCGGGATTAGATCAGCACAGAGAACGTCCAGGAATCAGGTTTTCTTTAATTTACTGTCAGATTTGGTGAAATCAAAAGACTAGATGTTAACGATAGATGACTGAATTTATTTCCTATTCCTAAAATGTTAAGGTGTACTCTATTTATTCCATTTATCCCATTAGCGGTCTTTCGGGATACTCTTCCTCCCGATGGCTTCGTAGGCTGCAACAACTCCAAAAGAGAATCTCCAGGGCACTCGGCGATGATGACTAGATTCGTGTGGTGTAGTTAGACCTAACTGCTAGCGTTCGAACACTCAGAGAATAATCTCAGTCTAATGTCTACTGGGGATAATACTGAGATCAGTAAGGGGGCGGTGGAGGCGGAGTGATTCTAGTTTCGTACTGAAACGTATCTAGAATCACGAGGAGTAGTATGGCATCGTAGAGAATACCGAAATATTCGAAACAGGACTAGAGATGATTTCGGGATCAGTAGAGGGGCGGTGGAGGCGGCGTGGTTCTAATTTCGTAGTGAAACGTATCTAGAACCACAGGGAATAATATAGCCTCTTAGAGAGAATCGAAATACCCGATGCAATACCAAGGATAATTCGGGACCAATATAGGGGCGGCGGAGGCGGTGTGCCGTATCGTAGTGAAACGTGTCTAGAATCACAGGCACGAGTTACGGCCTAGTTAAAATACCGAGATATCCTACACAGGACTAAGGATAATCCGGGAATCAATAAAGAGGCGGCGTGGGCGGTGTGATCCTAGTAGCGTAGTAAAATTATCTAGAATCACAGGTACGAGCACGACCTAGCCGAAAACACCAAAATACCTCACACAGGACCGAAGATAATTCTGGATTCGATAGAGAGGCGGCGGGGGCGGGGTGATTCTAGTATCGTAGTGAAACGTGTCAAGAATCACAGGGAATAATAGGGCCTCGTAGAGTGAATCGAAATATCCGACGCAGGACCAAGGATAATTCTAGAAACAATAGAGAGGCGGCGGTGACTGGGTGATTCTAGTATCGTAGTGAAACGTGTCTAAAATCACAGACACGAGTACGGCCTAGCCGAAAATACCAAAATATCCCACACAAGACTGAAGATGATTCGAGAATGAGTAGAGGCGGCGGGGACGGGGTGATCCTAGTATCGTAGTGAAACGTGTCTAGAATCACGAGTACGGCCTAGCCGAAAATACCAAAATATCCCACACAAGACTGAAGATGATTCGAGAATGAGTAGAGGCGGCGGGGACGGGGTGATCCTAGTATCGTAGTGAAACGTGTCTAGAATCACGAGTACGGCCTAGCCGAAAATACCAAAATACTCCACACAGGACTGAAGATAATTCGGAAATCAATAGAGAGGCGGCGGGGGCGATGTGATTCTAGTACCGTAGTGAAACGTGTCTAAAATCACAGGTACTAGTACGACCTAGCTGAAAATACCAAAATACTCCACACAAAATCAAGGATAAATCGGGAGTCACTAAAGAGGCGGCGGGGGCGATGTGATTCTAGTAGCGTAGTCAAACGTGTCTAAAACCACAGGGAATAATATATCCTCGTAGAATAAGTCGAAATATCCTACGCAGGACCAAGGATAATTCTGGATACAATAGAGACGGCGGGGGCGGTGTGATTCTAGTATCGTAGTGAAACGTGTCTAGAAACACAGGCACGAGTCCAGCCTTGTTGAAAATACCGAGATATTCTACTCAGAAACAAGGACGATTCGGGAATCGATAAAGAGGCGGCGGGGGCGGCGTGATTCTAGTAGCGTAGTGAAACGTATCTAAAATCACAGGTACGAGTTGGATGAAACTGGAATAATCTCATATGGTCGGGAGATACGGAACCGGGGTGAATTCAGGTTGATACGGGGACGGGGGCGGTGTGAAACTAGTCTAGAATCACAGACAGAAATTTGATATCACTGGAAAATATGTCTGTCAGTCAGAATATAACGAAATCTTGATGAAAACAGATCGATACGGGGACGGGGGCGTTGTTATTCTAGTGGCGTAGTGAAACGTATCTAAAATCACATACCGTGAGCTGTTATTATTTGGTAATCATCAGTCTGATTTCCTCAGTGCAGTTTGCGTACAACTACTACTTTCCAATGACCCAACCGATCATTTCAGGCACCGCATATCGACTGACTGTCGTCGTCCTCTCAGCGAGCCACGTCGCTCTCTCGCTGCGACTGCCGATTGAACGGCCAGGAGAGGGACCTGCGCGCGATGTATCCGTACAGCGGTACCCACGACTAGTCGACTAACCACCTCGAGTGCTGTAAATCAACCGCCTTTCACCGATATTTTCGTTTCTCGTCTCGCCTGATCGAAACGATGCTTCGTTGGTTTCCGCCTCTGTCTCCCCATGAGATAATCAATTCAAATGATCGCTGGAATCTCGCGGTGGAGTCTTTTAGAATTCAATCGGGATGAGCAATTTCAATTAGCCCAGTACGAATTTTCCAGGAATTCGTTACAAGGTTATTGGTTACAAACAAAATCGTTTGTTCAATCCTGATAATTATGAAAAATATATCTGGCTGGCGGGATCTGAGGTAAGAAATAAGCTATTTTGTTGGTACTGCGTATTATTTTCAACCGATAAGTCATCATGTTGGGGGCGATTAGGACATAATGATTTGAAAAATTTGCTTCGCGGATTGGATAGACACTGCAAATCACAGGAACACATCTCTTCAAGTATCTAGTTCAGGTTAACGTTATTGATTCTGCTCGCGTACGAGAAATTGAGAACCATAACAATGCAGTTGAAGAAAATCGCGAAACTTTGAC